TTTGATCTCCTGAATTCCATCTAGCATTAAAATCTCTTTTATCAAATAAGGTGTTTTCCCAGTTCTTTCTTATGCTTCACTGATCTGACTGTTTTTGTACTGGTGCAACATTTTTACTTACTTTGGGTGTATAATGTTTATTGTATGTTGATGGCATAATCTTATTATTTACCTCTTTCCTCCCATCTGTTGACTTGTTTTGTTTTGTTTTTTAATAAGAAAAGCTTTGATTTTTAGAATTACATATAATAAACACATAAAACATCAAAAGAGAACATTGAGTTGATAAAATTTACCCAGTGTCACAGAACATTACATGTAGAAATTGTTGAATGGGAACTTGTTTTGCTGTGAATGCTTTCACCAGAAACATTCCATTAAATGTTTATATTTTTGGAATATTTGTACTACTTGTAATTCATAAAATGGGCTTAAAAAAAATCGAGGAATGGGGGGGAAAGACAGAGAGAAATAGTGAACACTGTTAGACAGTTGCTGTCAGCACATTCTATTAATTTCACCCGTAACCATTGATTCCATGATTTCTTTTCCCTACAGGCCTGTCATATCTTAGGGAGTGCTTTTGCTTCTATATTTAGCCTCCCCAAACTTCTCAGATTCTATCTTCTGCTTTTGTCGAATCTTGAACCTGACCAAGGTTTCCTTTCAATCTTGACCATTCTTATTCTTATATCACTCACTACCTCTCTCTGATTGTATTGTTCTCTTTCTTTTTTTTCTGAGTAGAAAAACAGTATGTGTGTATTGTAGAAAGTCCAGAAAATACAGAAAAATACAAAGAACAAAATAATTCCCTATTAATCTCACCATCCATTAGCCACATTCTGCTGCTGCTTTTAGTTTCTTTTTCTCTTTTCCATATACAATCAATCTTAATATACTTCTTGCACAAACAAAATTAGGAGTGTAGTCTATATAGTCTTAAGATTTTTTTAAAGTAATGATCTTACTACTTTATTTTTTAAAGTAATTGTCTTTCATTCCAAAGCCGTACCAAATCCAGTGCTGTTGAGTCTATTCCAACTAATAGTGACCCTATAGGACAGAGTAGAACTTCCCCCATAGGGTTTCCAAGGCTATAAATCTTTACAGAAGCAGACTGCCACATCTTTTTCCCATGGAACAGCTGGTGGGTTCAAACTGCTGACCTTTCTGTTTGCAGCCAAGCACTTTAATCACTGTGCTACCAGGGCTCCTTGATCCACCATTAGCGCCTACCAAATATTTAACTTTGTGTTCCCAGCACCTGTCATAATTTATGTACATAGTTATCTAGTTGCAAAGTAGATATTAAAACCAATCAGTCCTCAAGTACTGTAGCCAACAAGTAAGTAGTACTCCAGTAAGTAGCCAACAGTAGTGATGCTGTTAACAATAGTAATAACAGCTGACATTCATTGGGTGCCTGACACTATTGTAAGCATATACTTACGTAATCCTTAAGAGAACTCCATAATATGGCACTTCCTTAAAAAGTTGGAAATAAAAATGCCATTTGACACAGCAGTCCCACTACTAGGATTATATCCTAAAGAGATGAGATCTGAGACATGAATAGATATGTGCACACGCATGTTCATTGCAGCACTGTTCACAATAGCAAAGAGATGGAAATGACCTAAGTGCCTATCAATAGATGAATGGATAACCAAACAAAAATGTGGTACATGCATACAATGGAATACTGTGTAATATTAAAAAATAATGAAGAATATGCGAATCACCTCATAATGTGGTGAACTTGGAGGACATTATACCAAGTGAAATAAGTCAGTCACAGAAGGACAAATATTGTGAGTGCATTATAAAAAGTCAAGGAAAGGTTTATACAGGGGAGGAAATTTTTTTTGTTGGTTACCAAGGATGAGAGGGGAGAGAAGGAAAAATTGCTGCCTAGTTAAGAGATATACATTGATTTGCGTGAAGGGAAAGGCAATATAACAAAAGTGTGTGACCAGCACAGTATCAGTAAGGAAAAGGAAGACACAGAGGTGCACAACAACAAAAGTAAGCACTATTACCTGCACAGTACTGCATTATCAGTAATAACAAACACAAATCTATAGGTGGATACATAGGTAGACAGGCAAGAAGATCAGGTATGCTTAGGTAAATGGGAATATATACATGACCATTATGGTTTAGAAGATATTCCTATTTATTTATGTATTTGTATGTACTATAAGGGAGCTCTGGTAGCCTAGTGCCTAAGGCACTTGGCTGCTAACCAGAAGGCTGGTGGGTCAAATTCACCAGCCACTCCTCGGAAGGAAGATGGGGCAATGTACTTCATAGTGATACTGCCTTGGAAACCCAAGGAGGGGTCACTATGAGTCGGGTCTGACTTGATGGCACATAACAACAACAACAACATGTACTATAAAGTGTCCATATACATTATAGATCTAAAAGGAGACAAAGGATAACTTCTTAGCCACAACCAAGCACCTTGAGGGAGTGAGTCAGCTGGGGCTGCAGGCTCGGGACCAAGATCATGGGGAACATAAGCTCCGTTGCCATCACACAGTACATGAAAGCACTATTCTACATCCTACTTTGGTGAGTAGTGACTGGGGTCTTAAAAGCTTGCAAGCAGCCATCTAAGATGCAATTATTGGTCTCTTCTCATCTGGAGCAAAGAAGAGTAAAGAAAATGAAAGGTGAAGGACAATATTTGGCCTTCTGAGACTGAATGATTGCACTTGGCATAATATCCTCCAAGTTCATCACATTAGTCCATTAGTCCACAGGAACTTCAGCCTACATGACCCTGAGACCAACCAGAACTAGATGGTGCCTGGCTCCCAATGCCAGCCACTTGGAAAGGGATCAAAATTGGAGATGCTGGTTAGAGTGGGAGAAAAAACGTGGAACAAAATTTAAAAATATGAAAATGACAATTACTGGTTGGAAAGAGATTAGTGAAATCCCCAGAACTATGGCCCCGAGTCACCCTTCAGGCCTGGAACTAGACTTCTGTGGCTTACTCTCAGACAAAAATAGACAGGCCTGTGAACAAAAGGAAGATGCACTCCTTAGAACAGTCAACTGTGGGAGATCAGAAGGGCAGCCTTTGCAAGGGAAAATGCTAGGCAGGCAGAAACACATAGGTAAGAACACAGATAGGGGTAACCACCAGAAGAAGGTGGGAAGAGAGGTGTTATATTGTAGGATTGTAATCAGTGTTGTGAAACAAAACGTATATGAAACTATTGGATGTAAAATGAACGTGCTTTGTAAAAAAAAGTACACCCAAATCACAATAAAAAGAAAAAAAAAAAAGAAAGAAAGAAAACCCTAAGATTAATATACTCTTATTCTCTTCATTTTATAGATGAAGGAACTGAAACAAAGTGGCTTAATAATTTTTTCACAGGCCCCTTCATGGAAAGTGATATTGAGGATGTTATTCCAGCCTTTTTGATTTCAAAGTTTGTCTCTGTACATAACCCTTAACACTAAATGTTACTCAGCCCCTCGTCCCCCAGTGTTGACCCATAGATATTTTCCGTGCTCACCCTTCATAAGTCCTATAAAGCTCTTTCATTCTCTCTTGGGGTCCTTTGTGTAGCGTTGCAGTTCAGAATCCTCATCACAAGATGGCTTTGTAGTACTTCTTGGTCTGTCATTCCTCTATCTGTACTATTATAACGGCTAAAATAACTCTTAACTAAATCATGGCTTAGCCTGGCGCTGCTTTATGCATCTTACCTTCCAGTTCACACTAACATCCTGTTCTTAGTAGGGTAATGACTGGCTGTGGTTTTAGTGGTAGTTCTTAGGATAATATCATTTTGATCAGCCTGCAGAGTTCTTCGTAGTAACACCCTTTGTCCATCCAAGATCTTAAAATCCCTTTGAATTTGTTTAGTGCATGCAGCTAAGATGTAACTGTGACTGGATCCAAAGGAAGAGAGAAAATTAGGAGTTGACTTTTCAGTGGTAAGATTTATGAATCACATATGATTCTACAGTTGATAGGTGTTGACCTTTGCAACATGTCTTTTTTTAACTCCTGATTGTTGTCTGATTTGCATTTCAAAAAACTGTATGTTGAAAGTATATACACGTCTGCTTGCTTGGGCTAATTCTCACTTTAGAGAAGCTGGTTCTCAGTTTAAATACCAAAATCTTCCTTTGTTGTTTTGCAAGACAATCTGACAAGAAAAGTTGTCTTGAAAGGATTTGATTGCTTCTATGAGGAAGTAGTTTCCCAGAATTAGATTTGAGACTTAAAACATTTGGAGGAAAGGGATGTCACAGAATATATAGTGACTGAAATATTGTAAATAATATTTTTTAGAACGTTAAGAATAAGGAATGACATAAAAGGAAGGGAAATCTAGAAGCCCAGGATATGTAAAAATAAAACTAGTTTTAGGGCATAAGGAGGGTGGTCTTTTTATAGACAAAGTAAGTTATTTGAAGGAAAAAAATATTATTATAAAGTATGAAGGATTAGGAAGATAATGAAGAAAATAAAACGTGAAAGGAACTAATATTTGATCTCAATGCCCTTTAAAATGCATTTTGGTAGGAAGTAAGAACAATATAGATGGACCACCCTGTAGAATGCTTGTGTTCTTGTCTTATTAGCATTTTATAGCACTTTTGTGATTCTGTCACTGAAGCTTCCATTGTGGTTAGCAGGATGCCTTTACCTGTAGAACTTACTATCTGTTGAATGTTAAGAGTGATCTGAAGTGACTTGAAAGTTGTTTAATAAGTCATTGCTATGATAGAATAATTATCTTGTTTTGTAATTTTTTGGAAATTAGTAATGTGCCTACATTCTCATCACAAGCATATTAAAAACACTTCTTGTTATTCATAGTAAGAACCTGTGTTTCTTTAAAGCTCATCAGTTGTACATGATCATTTTGGTGATGGTCTGACTTTAAAGCAGAGAAGCATTTTTTTTTTTTTAAACCTGAAGTAGTATGTCCTTAATATACTTGTGTCCTTTCTGTCTTGTGCAGGGAAGCAGTGTTTCTTAGTCCTACGTCAGCAGCAGTTTAATGTCCAGGCTCTTGTGGCTGTGGGAGACCATGCAAGCAAGCAGATGGTTAAATTTGCTGCCAAGTAAGTAAGCAATTATATCCTGTTGTCAGAATAAACAATGGTGGGAACCAAGACTCCCAGGGGTTTGGACCGTTTTCATACATTAACATCAATGCTTCGTTTGTTTAAAAATGTAGTTATTTAAATTGTCAGTTCAGTGTTGCTGAATACATTAAACTTACAAAAGAGAAAAATATGGAGCACAGGCTTGGAATTCATTTGGAACTGCTGAAGCAGCACTCTCTACAGACAAGTCACATTTACTTTCAAGTAGAGTAACAAAAAGTCTGGCAGCCTCAACATAGCAGAGCAAGTTTATTTTGTTGTGTTTGTTAAGCTTCATTTCCTACCCCCACCCCAGGTTGAGATTTGCATATGAGCAACAAGTTTTCTAACCAAAAATAAAAGTGTATAAATGAAAGAATGTAGTTTTGCAAATGATTTTGTCCAGAACAAAGTAAAAACAAATACTGTAACACATTACAACTTTTAACTTTGACACTAAAAGTGTACCAAAGTGGGGTGGGGTGGCATGAAAATTGCTTTTTCCTCATAAGAGTACTGCTATCTCCCTCAGAGTTCCCTTAAAAAAAAAAAAAAAAAACTCACTGCCATCAAGTCAGTTCCGACTCATAGCGATCCCTCCTTGGGTTTCTGAGGCGGTATCTCTATGAATTAGATTTCCCAGTCTTCCTTCTGAGGAGTGGCTGGTGGATTTGAACTGCCAATCTTCTGGTAGCAGTCAAATGCCTTAGGCACTACGCCACCAGTTCCCTTAGATGTGCATTATTTTGTTCAGTTTATAAGATGTGGGGTATAGAGATAAAATGGGGGTGTAGTTGTACATGCTGGGGCTTTAAACTAATAAAAGTGATTTTACCTGATAGTTGATGATGTGTTTAATTTTGTTTGCTTACATGTTTTCTCAGTTTTTTTTTTTTTTTCATGATAAATGACCAAAGAGAACATGGAAAAATGTATGGTCTTTACATTTTAAGTCATAGAATACTTCATAGCTATAAATGTTTATTAAAAGAAATGCAGTCTAGAGTAAATGTTATATATTTTTCAATGGATTTATCTCTGTCCTTTAGGTGTATGCCTTCAAAGATGGGTTGGTACACATGAAATTCTGAGTTTTAGAATGGAAAGAAGCAAAGATTATCTACTTTAATATGCTAATTTAAATTTGGGTCCTCCCTGACTCCCCAGCACAGTGCTTTACAATGAAGTAGATGCTCTCTGGTAGCATAGTGGCAAAGATACTTGCCTGCTAACCAGACGACTGGCAGTTCAAACCCACCAGCCACTCCTCGGAAGGAAGGTTGGGCAGTCCTACTTCCGTAGTGATACTGCCTCGGAAACCCAAGGAGGGGTCGCTATGAGTCGGGGCCGACTCGACGGCACATAACAACAACAACAACAACAGATGCTCAGTAACTCTTCTTGGTTTATAGATTTATTTATTAAACTTGTGTTTATCATAGTAATACACAGTCAGATTTTTAAAAATCCTTTGCTATTAATTTCCATTTTGATGAAATCAGCAGTATCAGTACAGTAGCCCCACCTCTCCATACCTCCCAGTGCTACTGCCCAGAGTGCCCCTTCTGTCTCTTTTTACCTTACCTACTTGTACCTTCTGGCAATTAAGTTTGCTTGTTTTCATCTCGTAGTCTGTAAAAGTGTGAACTTGTGGGGTGCATTTGTCATCTAGTCTTTTAAAGTCAATCTCTGTCATCCTGAATGGGATAAATGGAGTGTGATTCTCTAGGTATAACATTTGTCCACACAGAAAACCTTCTATAAATACAGAGTTCTTGAAGATGGACCTGGAAACCTCAGACTAAATTACATTTAATATGCCAAAAAATACAAGAAAGAAGTCAATTTCAAATCAAAAACAAAAAACTGTTACTGGTTTTGTCTTCTGTATGTTGAATTGGTTCTGAAAATAATATATAAAGCTGACAGTTTTATATTGAATGTATTTTCCATTCCATTGTAACCTTGATTTGGTCCCAGGACTTAACTAAGTAACAGGAGTTGACCATAAGGATATCAGCCAAAGTTTATTAGCTGAACAAACTGCTTTCAAATGCATTGCCAAACAGAACTTAGTTCACTAATGTCATCATAATATAAAAATTAAAGAAAACTTTCACCTGAATAGAATGGTTTAAGAGTGATCTTTAAGACACGAGAAGGGTTTAGATAAATTAGCTTAGATTCCATAATTCCTAAAGTGGAATTTAATCAAGATATAGATGTAATTAAGGCTTAAAAATTAAGTTATGATTTGGATTTTAAAAAACAAAATAAAGATTGTAGATGTTTTTAGTTCCTTAGGAATTTTGGACATTATGTAGTTTGTAGTATGTGTGGGAAAAGGTGATTTCATAATAGAGCTATTGCAAATTATAAAACCTTTGACTGGTTATATACAATTGAATGGAACTAATTTTATACAATAGTTCTAACATGTGGTACTTAGGTTATAATTTAACTTTTGGCAGTACTCATATGTGAAGGAATCAAGTCTGAATAATTAAAAGTAGATATGTTAATAGCTTTTGCTACTTTGTGGAAAAGGAAAATTTATATGACTAAGACTCTCCTTAGTGAAAAATAATGAGTTTTTAGTTTTTGTGTTTGTTAGTAAGAGAATTTTCTTAGGAAAATGAGTTCATTCTCCAAGTGAAATCCAGTTAACTTGTCTTTTTCATGTGATTTTTAGATTACATCTCTAGAGCAGTCAGAAAGTCTGGACTTTTTTGATAATATAAGTCTAAGGCACATGTCCTTTGTGACAGAAAGGCAGTAGTATGGTATTTATATCCAAAGTACTACAAATTTAAAGAAGAAAATAGAGCACAGAAAATTTACTTTGAAAACTGTTGCCTATTCTATTCATGAATAGTAAACTTGTAATATAAATTGTAGAGAACTTTTAGAACTTATTTAGGAAAAAGATGTGTGGGTTTTTTTCTAAGTTCTTTTCTTAAAAATTATCTTTGCTGGATAGGTTTAACATTAGCTGTGTGTTTCATTTAAAATAGGTATACATTAGCACCATTGTGAAAACAAAGATTAAGATAGCTTTCATACAGTGATCTTTAAGATCACTTACTCTGGCGGTAATGCTTGGTAATAAGTAAATAAGCACCTGGTGAGCTGACACTTCTATAAACCAAGAATCTAAGGTGTGAGGTAATTTGTAAATCATAAATAACAATAAAAAATTATTTCTCTATTTGAGATTTACAAATGAAAAATAATTTTTTAACCTGATGTAGTCTAACTTTATTCGCTTACTATGATTATATTGTACTACAAAACTTTACCTTAAGCTCACATTTACTTTCTATATTTTTAAGCATGAATAATCAATTTTCAGATATGGCATCAGAAAGAAATACTATAGTTATTATAAAATCTTCAAAAGCATTTGGAAGTAATCTTATTTGTGTCTGCAAATGAATTTTAAGATATTTTACTTTAATTTTCCTGGTCTCTTTTTTAAAGTTATTCTTCATAATTTCTGGCTATTTGGATTAGAATAAGATAGCCCAGTCATTTATTAAACTAATATTTATTAAGGGATGTGTGCTTTTTTATGTTCCCAAGTCCATACTCGCCAGAAGTTTCTTCTGAAATGCTAGTTTTACGTAAAATCTTTAATGCCTTCCTATTTCTGATTCTAATAGTAATTGTACTCATTTACTCCTGTGTAAGCATTTACCTTTTTATTTTTCCTTATCATCTGCATTATCATTAACATAGTACTACTTACACATTCTTATCACTCTCATTGTTGTGAAAAATAAATCACAGAGTCACCCAAAAGTATGTACTTTTTCTACAAACTTTTTCTAGAATATGTACTTCATTCTGATGCATATCCTTGAAGAATAGATACCTATAGTATTTTGTTTCTTGAGAGTGATAGTGTGATATATACAACCAATGTGGAAAATAAGACGAGACAAAAAATTTAAAACAAGAATTTATCCTGATGCAGGAAGGAAGTGAAAGAGGTTGGCTACATGATGATGCTGTTCCTTAACACATCAAATTGTAAGCCCCTTGCTATCTACTTCTACAAACCAAAACCCTTTCCAGGAATTGCTGTCATCAGTAAGGAGGAAGAAATCTTGGAACATTTAGGTATGGTGTCATTCATGTTAGTTTTTTTGTAGGGAGATGCTAATATGCAGTCAGTTCTCCTATAACATAACATAAGCATTCCTAAAAACCACTGGACTTATGAGCAAAATAGAGTTAATGGGACAACACTCAAAAACTTCATCAATGACACATTTAAAATGTATGTGTATATATATATATATATATATATATAAAATTGTTGTTGTTGTTGTTGTTGTTATGTGTCGTCGAGTCGCACCCGACTGATAGCGGCCCCTCCTTGGGTTTCCGAGGCAGTATCACTATGGAAGTAGATTGCCCCATCTTCCTTCCAAGGAGAGGCTGGTGGGTTTGAACCACCAGCCTTCTGGTTAGCAGTCAAGTGCCTTAGCCACTGTGCTACCAGATATATAATCTTTTTTTTTTTTTTAAAGTAGGTAGAACAGTTTTACATATGTTGAGTGATTAAGAAGTACATAAATACTACAATAAATATAGCACTTTAACTTTAAAAAGACCTGTAGTTTGTTTGTGGACATTACATCTTATAAATTATTATGAAATGATGGAGGCCATCTGCAATAGTGGGAAAAGTTGTAATACCAGTTGGATGGTTGTGGCTTGTAATGCAGGTCACTGGTAGATGTCTGAGGTGTGTGTTTTGTGTATCCCTACACAGTTGGGTCTCTTGAATACAGTTGTCTGCATTCACTCAGTGTTTCTCATTGGTGAAATTGGCATAAAGCAAGCACAAAATTCTCATTATGCTCAAATTGTTTCCTAATATATCTATAGTGTTCAAACAAATCCACATTTTCAAAACAAGTATTATAGCAGAACTGAATGTACTCTTAAAAGAGGTCACAGTGTTTGCC